ACATTTTTTATAAAAATTAATAATAACGTAAAATAACAAAAAACCGAAAGACGAAGAAATAAAGAAAAAGAAACTCGTATCATCTCCGGGTATGAGAAAACAATATTTTGTCGCAAATAATTTGTGGGGCGAGGGTCCATGGAAATGTTTGCCGTGCGGTTTAACGGTTATTCATTTACGGCTTTGCGACCGTAAGAAGAGCTTAGGGGCTCGTCGCTTTGGACTTGAATAATTAAATTAAAGATTCACATTCGCCGCGAATAGTTGCAGTGGCAGTGGTAGCGCAGCGGTAGTTTCTAACTGTTATCAGTTAGCCTGAATTTTAGCCGTCTCCCCGCAAACTCCTCTTGCGACTCGAGGAGACGTCTGAAATATCATGCTGACTGTAAACAGTATAGAAACTACTACGAATGTGAGTATTGTCCACTAAAATCCAAAGACAGGAGCCCCTATACTCTTCTTAAGTTCCCAGAGCCGCCTAGTCTCAGTGTAGTCTGTAAGTAATTCATGTCAACCTCAAGTGAAGCAAAGCACCTCAAGTAAGCAAATGTCGGTTATATGTAAGGAGACTATATATGTTGGCTTGAAATGAGCTTAAGAAATGCGCTACTTACCGACTGGGCTTGACATGAAATACTGCACCGACATTTTAGACCATCGCAGAGCCGTAAATGGATAACCGCCAAATGATTAACTCATGGCAAACAATTACAAGAGGTAGCTCTGTGACGAAAGCTTAAAAAAACCCCTCTTCGCGACCCATTTTAATATATTTTGAATTTAGAAGCAAGCCTTCACTCATTACTGTCATTTGCATGAACCCTCACTCGCCCAACAAATTTTAATCGGTTGCGACAAAATATTGTTTTCTCATACTCAGAGAGGATACCAGTTTCTTTTTCTTAATTATTTCATTATTTTTCGGTTTTTTTTGTTATTTTCTTACGTTATTATTAATTTTTACAAAAATTATTTTATTATTATTATTTTATTATATTTTTTTCATGAAAACTATTTTTATTTTTGCATGTCCGGGATGTTCCGGGATGTTCCGGGATGTTCCGGAATGTTCCGGCATGTTCCGGAATGTTCCATGTTCCGGATTTTATCGACGGCCCTCCAGTTGACCTTCTTCAGGATTTCCTTTGGCCTGAAACTCATAGATTCCACAGAGTCTTCCTACTTTGCATAATTTATCGTCGATATTTGACCACATGTAGCCATCTTGGTTTGGCCCGCGTTCCTCAGTCAGCTCAGTGCCAGTTTTGTCAACTGTTTTGTAAGGCACCATTGCCTTCTTCCATTCTGACCACTTGCCTTTACCTCCTGGTAACGGTACGCGAATACGGTCTTCTCTTAACGGAAGGTCAGCCATTCTGCGACTGAAAGCTTTTTTGTGAGGGACTAGCTTCAATAAATCGAAACAAAAACTCCTCTTTCCGAGTACAAGAGTACAGTTGATCGACAGCTGGTCCTTAAATCATCTGAAATTCAATGCAGCGGAACGTGATCCAATAGTTTTTCACCTTGTGTGTCATGTGACCATTCATAGGGTTTAAAAAAAGTAATTAGCCAATCAAATGTTTGCAATGCATTGTTTTCCCTGGCTTCATAAGATCTTCCGGTGTTTCCAAGAAACCCAGGTTGTTTACCATTTACATGGGCGAGCCGGTCGGTCCACGGTTTGGGCAAATGGTGCGCAAAATTCAGGACTAGTAAATTTCGTCCCGGAATCGCGTTTATCATTGCACATATCAGTTCCATTTACCAAAAAACTACCGCGAAGGTCTGAACCCGGTATTAAAGACTTGTGGCTTTGAAGAAATGGAACACGAATTTCCGTTTGGAATATTCCTTCCGGAAAAACAGGACTACCTTTTTTCAGATGTTTCGTTGCTCCCGGAAATTTTCCGATGAAACGACCCAAAAAGTCTTGTTCCATTTGCTTTCCAAAAGCAAATGGATTTTCCGGAAAATTTTGGTAAATGGTAAACGACCCCAGTCAATTATTGGGGTACTTCAGTAATTAAACTGCTGCTGCTATTTACAACTGGCTCACGGTCGGCCTTCAAAAGATCAAAGTTTTCTTTGCATTGTCCTCCTCCTTTAGCTTATGACACGTCATAAATGGTACCGACGGCGAACAAGTGATTGATCAAGAAACCAATATAGCTATAATGATCGTTTAAGCAGCTTATAAAAAAATCCTTCGTGCCAAACAGATCGAGTCAAACGCTTTACGATAATCTACGAAACAAGTCTAGACCGAGACGTTCTCCTTATGATGATGCACATATTAAAAGATGAAATGGTAATCCTCTGGAACCCATCCTGTCATCCTCTGACAACAAAACAAAGGCGAACGGAAATCAAAAATCAGATACCCTTCTGATCGTCACGGCAATGACCTAGGGTGCTGTCACGCTACATTGCGGTTCTAAAAAACACGCAAATTATACTCTTCTTAATTAATTTTGACCCTGACAGTACTGATTGAATTCTTTCAGTTACAAAGATTTTTAAAACGGTATTCGACTGCAAGCAAAGATGAGTGTGAAATTTCTTGTATACGCAGTGATTATGTGCTTAGCCATACCGTTTTCAAGATCTGAGAGCGATCGCAAGTGCCGTCCGTTGAATGCGAAGAAGTTTCCGAATTGCCATGAAGCTGGCTTCCATTCAACAAGCTTGTATCTCGCGGACAACTCATACTACGAAGAAAGGTATTCAAAAATCATCAAAAACATCACGGAGAAGCTCGGCGGTTGCTCAAACTACACAAGCTATATTCTCTGCTCGCTGTACGTACCACGATGTAAAGAAAGCATGACTGGTCCGTGGCTTCCATGCCGTCAAGTATGCGAGGAGTTTACTCGAGGATGCTCGGATCAAATGAATTCCGAAGGCTTAAACTGGTTAAAGCCTCTGTGTAGTTTGCTACCTAATGAAACGAACAGTGACTGTTTTAAACCGCCGAATTTTAAGCCATCAGCGAAACCTGCTTCAAGTAAGCTTGCTTAAGTACCTAATGTATTTAACATACCTTCAGATAAGCCGGAGGGGGCGGTCATCCAGACCCTGAGATAAGCGGGGGGGAACCCGGTCTCAAAAAAAATGTTTTTCGGCCCCTAGGGCCCCTCCCCTGGATCCGCTGCTGCTAAATACATATCGATATTTTCAAGTATAGGCCTCATCACGGTTTTGGAAGCCATCTTGACGGGTAGGCAACCGCTTGAGAAATCACAGTGTTTGTGTCAGAATCTAATGTCGAAATATTTCCGTAACACGGCTGTTCTGAAAAAAATATGGATTTTAAACTAAAGCTTCACTCCTAACGATTCTACTGATAAAAATTTGAGGGCGTCAAATGCAGCTACATGCGCTGGAACCACTTTTTAAAAATTTCTATGCATTGGTCTGTAAAAATTTATCTTCCTGCTGACTAAAATTACCCGGAAAAAAATTGAAGACAAATTTTTGGAAAATCTAAACAAGCGTCTGGATAAATTTAAGCACAGTTACCGCCCCCAAAATTTGTAAGTAAAATCCTTTGCTGTTTAGCTTTAGTTTACAATTCATATTTTTTTTACAGAACAGCCGTTTTACGGAAACAAGAGAGAATGATCTGGAAGGAAATTATTCGACACTAGATTCCCATATAAAAACACTTCTAGTTGATTTCTCACGCGGTCTTGATTTACTCAGTAAAGAACCGTGACAAGGCTTATTCGGTGAACTACGTTAACGTGCTCTTTTTTCAGGATGCTGAAGAAAAAAATATTGGTACTTCATGCCCCAGTTGTTTACAAATATCTCGCTATATACCCATCCGCTGGATACAACTTTTGAACAGCTTGGGCCTCGGTATGATGTCTAATTGTTTTTTCGGTTTAGAGTAGTGACAGATTACCTGTATGCGCACATTTGAGATCTCGAAAATGCAACAATAGACGGGAGAGGTCAGTCAGAAGGAATCATTTCGGGTGTCCTTTCACGTCTGTCGGCAGTCGGTAGCCATGGGAAGAATTCGTGATAACAAGAACCGGAAGAAAAAGCACTGACCAGGTTGACAACCTACTTCCATCCTCTAGTATCTTTTCACTAGTCAGAAATCCACTTTAGTTTTGTGATTTCTTCTGTCACTAAATTAAGTTCATTTTGAATTTTCCTTTTCTGTTATCGCCATAACAGGCCTTGTTTGCAGCGAACAGGTCATCAATAAGAAATGCCAGCAAGCGGGCTGTGTAGAAACCTTTGTCTCAGAGACGACACAAGCGCAGTTAAAGAACAAATTGATCGCAAGCATGGAGAAACTGAACAGTAGCGTTCAAAATGAGACGTGTAAGGCGATCCTGAGGAAGCTGTCGTGTGCATCCTATACACCTCCGTGTAAGGAGAAGAAGTTTTTCACATTGTGCAACTTGAAGTGCCGCCAACTTTTTGACGACTGCCCATGGGTATTTAACTTGACAGAAGTTGGCGTAACAGAAGTAAGCCAGGTGGTAAGCAGTTACTGTGCTGAGCCTGCTCAAGGTAACACGACCAACGGTTTCTGTGAGCTAACGAGATGGCCTAGTGCGAGGCATTGGAGTAAAGGTATGATACATTTTTTCCTGTTCGTGAGATAGGACAGGGGCACCCAACGGCAATTTTCGGAAAATGTCTGTTCGGAAGACGATTTGAGATCTAGAATTTTCGGAACATTTATTTTAAAATTTCTTGCTTGCCTGCCTCTCCTTAGCCTCCCCGCAGACGTCCTTTGGGGTTCGTTTGTCACGCGTGACAAACGAACCCCAAAGGACGTCTGCGGGGAGGCTAGCCTCTCCTAGGATTTTCGAACATGTACAAAATGGCATAATTGCCTATTTTTAACGGATTTTTACCCTAAGAAAGGCCACCTAGAATTTTCGGGAGCCTTTTCCTGGCTGAAATTTTCGAAAAGGTAAGTTTTGATCCCTATTATTTTCGGATCACTAGACTTTCAGCTAGGAAATGCGAACAGATGAAAAGTTTTTAGGGGATAAAAATATGCCTATATCTACCGTTTAAATACTAAAATACGTTCAACAACGCTTTGTTAAGTGGTTTTGAACTATATCCTCGTTGGGTGCCCCTGATAGGAGCTCACTCTATGTGTTCTCAGGAGTAGGTTGTATATGTTGTGGTTCAACTTTATCCTTGGTTTAAATTTCATTTCCTTTGTTTCAAAGTCGTTATCATACATTATCTAACTCAAAGACAAAGTAAAATAAAATTTAATCTAATTACAAAATTGAACCACAACATATATAAAGACCTATGTAGGCCATTTTCTTTTGGTACAAATGTCATTTTTAAGCATCAGCGAGCGTGTTCTTTAACAATTTTAACATAAGATTAATCTCGACCCGGTCTTTCGTACCCCGAGTCCTCTGGCAGTTTATTTTTCGCAAAAAAGTCAATGGACGACTGCAGGTATGTGATTGGCTGAAGATAAACCAAAACCTGCTAATATTCTTGTAATGCTGCCCCTTTAACAACGGACAAACTCCTTCTGATGTTATCCTAAGTTTGAAAGTTTTAAAAATAAACGTGTGGGTTCCTTTGTGCATTCACACCTTCTGCTGACATTCTGAGGCTTATTGATTTTACTCTTCAGGGGAGCGTCCGAAGACATTGCCATCTTCCTTCCCAGCAGGCCTCATTGCTGCCCTCGTTTTGGTGCCATTGTGTGCGATCTGCTTTATCTACGTCGCCGTGATATTGCGTAGGCGCTATGAGCAGAAGAAGAGTGGATATACCCAACAACGTTCAACGTACACTGAACCACAAATTGGGACTGGGGAGCATGATATCAATAATCTACCAATGTAAAAACTTGTGAGCAAATGTTTTCCTATTATAGTTGTTAGAAAGCTTAAAAGAGCTGCGCGGAGATGTGTCACGAAACTTCCTCAAATTTCAAACAGTGGGAGCTGACATCTAACTGAGTGAAACATAAAAATCAGTGGCGGGTACAGGGGAGGGGCCTTTCACCCCCCCTATCTCAGGGTCTCCATGACCGTCCCCCCCCTTCCCATTATCTCCAGATCTGGATCCGGCACTGAAAATAACAGCTGAAAGCTTTAAACGAAGGTATAAACAACACAACGAATAGGAGGCTAGCTCGGATGGACAAACTTGAGGAAGATAAAAACGCATTGAGAATTGTGGTTTTGGTAAACTTGTTAGCCTAACAGTAGTTTTTCAAAGTTTATTTTTGTTTATAAAGGGTTTAGTTTAGCGTTTGTCTCACGATTGCCACTTTCATGTTGATCGCGACGTTTCCACCGCACATTGCAGGTCTTCAGCAGGCGATAGTTTCGACCTGCAGTGTGCGGTCGAAACGTCGCGGTCAATATCAAAGTGACAATGGTGAGACAAACGATAAACTAAACCTTTTATACACATTATCCACGATGATTATTATCTTTGATGACATTTATTTTTGTTGTATGCAACGCTTGATTTAATGCTTGGGAGAAATATTTAGTATAACATGAAGCTGTGTGATTTTGTAAGTTTGCCGGTAATTTCGTCGTTAGCGTTAAGTTCCATTCCCAATAAGTACGTTTGACCCTTTAAACGCTAAGATCAAAATTTGAATTCTCATTTGTTGCCCCTATTCATTTCCTACAGAAGTAGTGGAGAGAAGTTGATAAAATATCAAGCAAATTCATCTTATATGATTATGTCTGTAATTCTCATGACCACTCTGTTTTACAAAGCATAGATATTACAAGGAGAAATTTAATGCTGATCACTCTTAGGGCTTAAAGGGTTAATGTTAGCAAACTTTAATAACTAGACATCCGTGACACAGTCGACAAATGATGAAGACAACGAAAAACCATAAAACTGAATTTGCTCTCTTTCAAACTTTATCGCGTTTATTTTTGCCTTTTGCAAGTTCTCAAATGTAGGCGACTTTTTGTGGAGTCAATTTTTTTAGAACACTATCAAAGTTATTATGACCGTATTCACACTAGAGACGGATTATCCGTCTGAGACTCGCTCAGGCCGTTGGATAATTCGCGTCAGACAGATAATACGTCTTAATTCGAAAATGGAATGGTCTTAATTTTGGATGGACAATCCGCCTGACTTTCTCCATCTTTTTTCCGTCAATTTTGACGCATTTTGAAGATGAATTATCCGTCTCTAGTGTGAAAACGGCCATTGTTCATATTTTTTTGTTTTGTTTTTCTGTTTTTGTTTAGTTTCCTTTTTCCACAGGCAAACTTTTAGAAAACTGGAAAAAGTTATTTTCACCATAAGTTATTTTATAAAAATAGTAGACCGTGACCGAACTTTCCATTGCATTGGTTCGGTCTTTTGCTAAAATTAACCAAGTTCATTTATTTAAGTTATTTTATCGTACTTTATTAACCTCGCCATCATTAAAGTAAACATAAAGTAAATTAGGAAGCATTATATTATGCGTTTATTTATACAATACGTAACTGAAACGAAGTACAACAA